AGCAAGGCCTAAGCCATCTCAGGATTAGAAAATTTTTCTCAAAGTCTTTAAAAATTGAGATGACATGACTTAAGCACTATTCCTGCAGAATAAGCTGACTTGGAGCACTGTGATTTCTGACTTCACAAAGTCAATTTTACAAATATGTATTTTCCAAATGCAGATGATGATGATAAAGATCAAGCTGCATGGAGCAGGCAGCCACTGCTGCTCACTGTCCTCAAAAAACAGTTTCTCATGGCTAGTACCATTACATGATATTTCCATGGCCCTATCACACGTTGCAACCTAGAATTATCTTTCATTGTTACTAAAATGTGAATCTGAGCAATATGATTACTTCAGCATACCCAATTCATATGTTTTGTGTGTGCATATTTGGTTTCAAATATGACATTTTATTGGGAAAGAAAAGAAAATCCTGGCAGCTAGGGTACTCTACCAGCTTATTCTCCATCTTTCATTTGTGGTTTTTTTATATGGTATAATTGTGTTCCGGCATATATGCAAACAAAACACAAATGTTTCATCTAACCTGAGACATGCTATTGGACAGCAAGTCTGATGTAGCCATGTATAAAGAAATGAGTGGATGCTATGTTTAATCCAAATCTAGATATTTACACTGCAAAAGGCACCTGCCATATATTTTGTGTAGCATTCATCTTTTTATGTTTTACATTGTATATAGACAGTGTGCATTCTTTAAAAATGGAATAAATTCATTTGACACTGTTCATAAATTCATGACAGCTCTTGATGTGGAGCTTCATTCACAGGTTCCATACAGCCACTGTCCTCTTGGGCTTTTCTATTCAGTTGGTAGCTTTATTCTTTCAAATGATGTATGTCCAAAGTTTTTAGCCAGAGAATCCAACATGGACTATGCCAGCTGGATTTAAGGCCTGACCAGCATCCTCAGCCAGTACTTTTCCTGGGGATATATGTAAGGTTTTGATTCAAGTGGAGGAGTATTACAAACCAGGAAGATCATACTTTAAACTGGTACATTTGTGTCAAACTGCTGTGAATATGTGTTGTATGTTTTTCTCCTCGCCAAATAATGCAGAGCTCCTATTTATCCTGTTTATATCTGACAACTTCAATGCATGTCCTCAAGATCAGTTAGTTGGTATTCATATGAAAGCCTAGAGAGACCTAGAAAGACTTAATCTGTATTTACTGTGGCCTTTAGAAAGACAAACCTCCACTCTCCTCGTGGTTTCTAAAGCCTGGGATTTCCTTCTCCTTAATGGATGTCGTGAATTTTTTCTGACTACTACAAAAAGCATCCACTCTTTCTTAACTGTATCCTGATAGGTCTGCAGAATAGCTCTAGTAACTTCTCTTATTAGATGTTATATTAAATTGTGACAGTCTAATTATGAGGTAAAGGTTATGCAGTCACCCTGTCTTATCCTTGTGTTAATCTTCCTGCCTGCTTCTCGGTCTGCCGATTCATCCCTAAGTTCTTACTAATAAGGGAAAAGTTAATTACCATTCTGTGATTGGGATAGAAGAGAAAAATTGATGCCAATCCTGAGGAAAGGAAGCAGAACTTTTGTACTGAACATGTTCAACTACCTTCTGACTCAATACAGCACTTTCATCTCTTCTTCAGGATGGGGATCAGCATAGGTTATATGATGAGAGTTCAAGTGTCATATAGGAAATGTTAGGAAAAAAAGACAGAAATTTGCAGAAGTCTAGGCTTCACCACTTTATTGTGGCTAACATCTGGCAATGTAGTATATAAACTTTGGTCTGCTAAAGAAAATAGGGTTTTTTTTTTTCATGTTACAGTTATTCATATCATGTGGGCTGGAGCATGTTTTAGCAATGTTCTATGGCAGTGGAGAACTGATAATTTTAAATTTTGGGGCTATGTGAAAAATATTCTTTTTCTTAATAGTCCAAATATTCTTAAACCTGTATTTCCTTTGAAAAATGAAGATGTGAACAAGTATGCCAGACATTCTAGTTAAGAGAATCTAACACTGATGTGGACAATTTCTTCTAACTTTAATGGTTAATACCTCTGTCTGTAGTTAGAAGCTTGTGACATATTGTAGTATTTACACACCCTAATGCTGCTTCTGTGTGGCACTATCCTGTCTAGAATTCAGCAAGAGTCACCCATCAGCTTCCATGTCATTTAGAAACAGGAGGACACTTATACATTGTAGTGTTTATTACGCTGTAGTACACTGTGTATCAATGGCATTTTGAATCATATGTTCTTGCTTTTCTGTACAAAAATTACCACAGCTTCTTTGTCCATGTCTGCTCCGTTTTTGAACTCTTACCTTGTTCATATTTTCTGACCCAATGTGACCACCTTTTACAATTGCAAGTGGTCTGGTGAGTGCTAAATTGTTTTGCTAAAGCTTTGGATATCTGTACTTTCAGTATCAGATTCACTAAAATAATGATAATATCTGGAATTGTTGCTCTTGACACAAGAGTGATTTGAAAAGTGAAAAGTAAGTCCTGGCTTGATTTCAGTTTTTAAATTACTACTTAATCATGTCTCTTCTAAAAAATAACAAGCTACAGTATGATATCAGTGTTCTTCAGTGAAATGCAGTCCAGAAGCAGCTCAAATAGAATTAAGTTTAAAAATGAGAAAAGTGGGATCATGTTACTTTGCATAAAAGAAAACTAGATCCTCCAGGACAGAAAGCCAAGAACATGTAGCTGTTGTTGCCTTTTATGAGCGCCTCAGCATCCAAGGAGTGGCAAACAGAGGCTAAATAGGAAGAAGAGGAAGTATAATCTCCAATAAAGAATCCCACAAGAGATTTTGAGGAGGACAATCTCATTTTGATATTTTTTGCCAATCTGAACATAACTGCTAGTGACTATGTTTCAAGAGTTGTCTGGTACTTTGAGGCACTGGTGAATATTTTGTACATTTGTGTACTATATTGGGCATTCAGTGTTTGCTACTGACATGCTAGAAAGAACTATCTCCATGTCTTCACTGTCTTATTTACAGGTAGAAAAAATTGAATATTTTGGTTTTTGTGTAGTGCTGCTGCTACTTGTAAACACTTTCATCTTCAGAATTCTGCCCCTTCATAATTTCAATATGTGCAAATTAGACTAGATCACTAAAAAATGGTGGTATGTTTTAAGCTGGGCCCCCTTTAAGTGTTAAAACAGAAGCAAAAAATGGAGTAGCTCTACACAAATAACAAAAATATCCTTTATAAAACATAAGAAATTAAAGGACTACCGAGAAACATTTAAGCCAGCTGTCACATATCAGATAATGCCATTTCACAGAACTCGAAGACAAAGAGCATAATTTTCCTGGAAGTGAAGTAGCATAGTCACACTCTCTTTCAGTGCAGAACAGGATAAAAAAAATGAAAAGAGGCATTTGGCTTATCTTCTTCTAAAGCCTTTGTGTAATTCATTAAGCAACCCTTATCTAAAATTATAGTGTAGGGTATTTGCCAGTGTTTTCCTGACCCAATGAAAACATAAAGAGATACTAAACCCAGCTGGTCATTAACTCTCCTGTTAATACTCAGGGCTGATTCATGTCTATTGTACCCGATTGGATTTGGCTTCCTTGAGCAATTAAAGCCTTCGAGTTCCTCCCATGGAGGACATGATTCTTTTGGTTTGTTCTGAGACTCAGGTTTATATGCTCTCCATCCAGTCTGGGCCTGTGGTTTCACCTGAAGCAACACTCTATTCCAACCACTCCTGCAAAGACTGTGTTCAAAGTGTAGATTTCATCCACAAGGTGTTTAAAAATCCATTCTTTTATTGCAAAAGGAATAAAAGAGATGATAATAAAAATGGCTACAAAGTTACTTTCATTCTAATGATACTAACACACCACTAACATACTATTCATACTAACATTCTAATCATCTTTAATATTGGGGTGTTTCTTTTCATCCTTACAGACTGATTGTACAGTGGTACAGATTGCATATACTGCTTTTTAATTAGGTTTTTGCAGTATCTGCACACCATTCCTGTCTTGTGGACAGTATATAGATTATAGGAATAATGTTGTGTCAAGTCAAACACAAGTCACATTTCTCTGTTTATCAGCCTTTTTCTAATTAGATCTTCATGGACTTGAAATCCAATGTTCAAAACTCATATTTTAAACTTAAATAACATTAAAATAGCACCAAATAAATGGGAGTTTTTTGTTAGAAGTTGCAAGTTGTAATTTATCATGATAAATTTACTGCAGGGAAGTACAAGAAAATTAAAAACATATTGTATTTTTGTCTTTGGAAAATTTATTTTCGCCTTGATTGCTGCCATATACTGCAAATGGCAAATTTTCCCTTTCCCTATGTGTTGACTCTACATCCTCAGTGCTGCAGATGCTCCTTTTATGCCCATCAATCTACTTTACAGGACTGTAGTTCTTGACAACCGTTTCAAGTAGCAGTTTTCCATGCTGAAGAGAAGGAACCCTACTTTCTCCTCCTGCCATTTGCCCTACAGTGTGTCATCTGGGCACCTTGTCCATGCATCCCTCCCCATGGAAGTGAGGTTTCCACAGTGACAGCATGCCCTTGGTCACAGGCCCCCTAACTACAGAGGTGTCAGTCAGTTTGGAAGTTTTAGGATGTTTTTGTTCATCTATGGTGCACTGTCCAGCCATCCACCTGTTTCATCCTCACAAGCCTGGTGACAGCCCGCAGTGGAGTCCCTTTTGGAATGTTCACCTCCATCCTTTGGGATGACATGTCTGTAGAGTAATGCTGGATGGTCAGTCACCTTCCCAATGCACAGCACAGAAAGTGGCTGGTCTGTCAGCCTTCCCATAGACTTGTCAGGCAGCTGGGCAGTAACTAAGGTGATACTTGCTTTTCAAAGAATGTGTGGAGCCATAATAGAGTGTAATTGCAGAAGAATAAAGCTGGAGTTACCTATACTGCATTGTAAAACCTGATTATCTTTCTGTTAAAGCAGCAAATTTTTGGTGATACCTAACTTACAACTCTGCTTATTTTTTTCAGACATGGAGATGACTTGATTGTGACACCATTTGCTCAGGTAGGCACAGCTTTGCCACATTTCTCACATGGCCTTGTAATTTAAAGACAAAATGGTCAAATAGTTGTCTTCTGCTGTAGATATTATATATGCTTGAAACAAGAAAAGTGTTTTAATATAAAGTCATAAATCTCCCACTCTGTTAAATATACCTCTCTTTCTTAACACTTTTTGCTTATCTGAAAAGTTGAAGTGCAACAGCATGATAAATACCTTTGGTCTCCTTCCAAATACTGTAGCAAGCCGTCATGATTAAGACAAATTTCTGATTCCTGTTATTATGTTATTTTTCTAATTGCAATTTCTCCATTTGAACATCTTTTATGCATTAAATACAATGAGATTTTTAGACATGAGATACATTTTACCCAGAACACTTATGTTCCTCTACAAAACCAGGTTTGCTTTTTCTATTCAGATTCTAGTTTATAAAATACCATCCCAAAATTCTTTATAATTCAGATAAAAATGCCACAATTTTTCACAATAGAGATGCCTTGTAAAGTATGAAAGGTTAGCATTGCTATACCTTGAACTCATGATGATGGGTGTTACTCCAAAAAGATCGGAATTATAGTCAAATCACTGTAATTATGAAGTCATATGTGATTGAAGGTGGATGGAAAGCGAAAGGTTGAGTCACACAGGAGTCTCAAGTAAGAATAAAGTGTCAGCTTCAGACACACTGTACAGGTTGCTTTAGTTGCTGAAAGAATATTAATTTAACAGTTTATTATATATTTAATTACATTGTAAACAGATGCAGTGTTTATAAGACTCAATCAAGTCAATATGAATAAAACCACCATCTTTTACTAGCAGAGAAAAGATTAAGCAAGGGCTTTTTATAAAAATACTCTGAAATCTCCACTGTATCCTGAACATGCGGATTTGATGACATGTATAATTGGTTTTAATCGACACTGAATTTAAAATAAGTGAGTTTGTTTTCTGACTTTCAGAAAGAAAAACATAACCAAATTAATACTGTTTAGTTAACCAAATGTGTTTTTTATTATCTTAATTCATTTGGAAATTTCCTCCAATGACTTGAATACTGCCAGTCATTGCTAGTCCTTAAATACTTGCTGTTACAAGCTTTCATTAATTTATTCTTTTTTCTTCAGAGTCCTACTCCATTCTTACCTCCTGTATGCATTTCAGGTGCTATGAAAAGAAAAGAGGGTTGTGCACTCCTCTACTCAGATCTCTGAAAGCCAGCTTCCCATTGCTGCTTTTGTTATTCTTCAGATGGATTTACCAGGAACCCAGCCCAGTCTGGGCTGAGAAAAAAAATTGTTAACTTCTGCAAAGACATAACAGTGATTAGTGTTGCTGCTTTCTCCCATTTTCAGCCTAGCTCAAATCAGCTCATGGTTCCTCAAAAAAATTTTTTGCATGTTACCCAACTGCCTTTGGAAGAGAGTGCCTATGCCACTTATAACAAGAAGACATTCCTCCCCACTACGTTCATTGTCTGCTATCTCCCATGAAATTAAGTCCAGAAAGGAAGTAGTTCATCTATGTTGTCTTCCCCAATGCATAAAGCTTGTAAGAGCCTGGGGACTTTTCCCTCATTCTCAGGGGATAACTTCCTCTTTCTCTGCCCTTCTGCACTGTCTCCAAATCATCCGTGCCTCTCAGAGGAGACACTCTTACTTTTTTACTTTTCCTGGTATTCTAGACAATTTCATTCCCTTTGTCCTTTGGAGTTTATGGGGACTGAACTGCAAATGAAGATTCTGTAATTATTTCTTATCCATGAAGCATTAGGGTTGAATGGGCTATTATCTTCCCAACTCAAATGCTTTTATTGTTATTTATAATAAATAAGTAGAATTATGTAAAAAACTTTCCTCCCCTGCAAGTCAGCCTGCCTTCAAACAGATAATGAGTTGTTTATAACGGGAACAAAAAATAGAAATAAATTACTGCCTTTGTTTTACAGACATATTATTGTTAAATAATAGCCAAAGGTTCCAGACTAACCAGCCGAGGAAACCTTTTGCAGTGGTTTTTCAACATGCTTTCCATTTTCTTTCAGCAAAGCAGAGATAGATAAGTCTCACTTTTGCAGAAATTTATACTGAAACCCCTTTTTCTGTTCCAGGTTCTGGCCAGCCTGCGTACTGTCCGGAATAACTTTGCTGCATTAACCAATTTACAGGACCGGGCACCCAGCAAGTGAGTGTCATTTTTGGCCACTGAACTTTTTGCAGTGTTTTTTTTTAATGTAAACTAGAGAACACAAATAAATGTTACAGGTTTCAGTCTGTGCCACCAAACCTGCATAAATGATGATGAGGAATAAGTTTATTAATCCCATGAAGATGTTATAGTTGGTAGCTGAGACAACAGCCCCCTTGCCTTCTAATTGCATAAACTTGGAGTAGGTTTTTTCAAGTTACACGATTTTATCTAAAGTAGTCTTATGTGTAAGATCATTCAAAGATGATCATTCAGGCACAGTCTGAGTCTTGTAAATGAAACAGTGAGTAGGCAGCTTCACTCACTGAGATCTGCTTGCATGATCTGAACCTAGAACTCAGCTTCACTCATCCAGGGTAGTGATACTCTACCTATCCACAGTAGTGCATAACCATGAATTAGGCATTATAAATATAATACCTCTTCAGTCGTGTTACAGCATCACAGTTAACACTACTGTTAGTTACACTGGCAAATATAGTGAAGTCATTTCCCTCACCCAAAAAATGCTTCTGGAGACCTAGAAGGAATTAGAATCCCAAAGAAAATAATGTCTTTGCATATGTTTATAAGTCACATTTCAAACTATGTATAGCTCTAGATGTGATTTGGCAGTTTTTTAATAAACCTGTAAGTTCCTAAAATATTTCTGTCCTGGAGTTCCCAAATAAATTCTCAGGTTATATTATTCAAGGATTCAGTCATCAGTGAATTTATCAGGCTTAAACCTTTTCTCATTTCCTTTTCAATAGAAGATCACCCATGTGTAGCCAACCATCTATTAACAAAGCAACTATAACAGGTAAGAATAATTTATTTATAAAAAAATCTAACCGAGAAATGCATTTTATAATGATTAACATATATTGCTTCATATCCTTACATTGCTTCATATCCCTATATGTGTTTTATTAAAGACATTTTGAGTTTTTGAGTCACATAGTGACTCAAATTGGTGACTTTTAGTGTTCTATCCTGTTAACTTCTGATTTCTGTTTTATTGTTCCAATTTTAATTTAAGTTCTTTCCCAATTTTTTTTTTCCTTATATACCAGTTTGTGGCTGTGTCAAAAATACATTCATTAGTAATCTTTTGCAAGGAAATCTAGTAGAAAAAACTGATATGAGAAATCCATTCATCTTTCTTTTAGGGACATAGAGTTCTGTAGCTATACAGACACAAAGTCTTCACTTTTAAAGTGCTTATGCTATGAGGAGAAATTTTCAAAACTGAATTTTCTGATTTAGAATTGTAAATCTGATTTTTATGACATTTGTACGAAGAAAAAATATTTTTAAAAGATGGCATTATTTCTAAGGAAACATTTACTTGAAAACAAGACTAACATTGTAAATTACATTAATATTTTGGAAAATTTTATCCCACACTGCTTTTGGTTATTTTGATGATAACTTGGTCTTGGATGTCTTTATGGAAATACTCTTTATTGGACACCATAGTTTTTACATCACGTTAATTCACAGCTCACACTGTATAATTTTACAGGTAGTTGCTTTCTCTATCAGAAAGTCAGAGTGAAAGAGCACTTGCTTTTCTTCTTGATGAAAGTATACAAACACTTACTAAACAGGCAAATTATCATTTAAGCCACAACTAGAAATGCAATTTTCTATAATTTTCAAAATGCCTCATCTTCTTAATTAAATTATACATTTGTATCTCTAAGAAAAAGTGGTACTTCAGCAATTTTAAGAAGCAAGTGTGGCTTTTCATTGTTCAATACTTTCTGCCTTTAGGCCTTGGAATGTGTTACGATCAATGTTTTTTTTCAGTTAACCTCTCACCTTAAAAGGACCCAGTCTTGGCAGCTCTGTACAGTTTTATTCTTCTAGGACTTCATATAATATGAACATTTGTGTGTAGGGCTCATCTGGAAACAGAAGGTTAAGTGTTTAAATCTATTTTATAAGCAGAAAGGCATCATGTTAATTAAATAATAGAAAGAAGATAAAGATATATATGTAGGCCAATGATATTCATGATCTTTTTAAAATATATTTCTAGAAGAGATAATTCTGGGCATTGGTTTCAAATTGCTGTCTATGAACCTTTTCATTATAGATATCATATTTATTTTTGATTTTGTGATTTGTCTCCTAGCAGAAATATGTTAACTGGAGACAGAGATACCCAAAAATAGGGCTCTTTCTTTAACTTCAAGAGACTAACTTTAGAAAATCAATAGCACAATGAAAGTCATGACAGTAAAAGAAAATTATATCCAGAAGAGAAGATGTGCATGCATGTGAACACTACCTTACATGCTCTCCCACAGCTATTTGTCTGAGGTCAACTTCTTTTCTGCAGCAGGAGAAGCTGCTCAGACTGCAGTACCCAAGACACTCTCTGTTGGAAGATGCTATTGCTCTTTTTAAATTCTCCCTGATCTGAAGTTTTCCATTCAGTTAATCCTCAGACTGTAGTCTATATAATCAGCCATAAACCATCTGAAATTTTAAAGTTTAGAAAGAAAGTACTACAGTCGGCTGTTCAATTAATCTATAAAATTCTTCTTTGCCAATAAATTCAAAGGCAGCAAGAAAAGGCAAAAAATAGTAAGGGCAATTTAATCTAATTTAGTTTAGTCTGATTTATCAGAGATGCTGGTGGAATTGCTGTGCCCAAATTATGCATTGAACCAGATAATCTAGAGCCTGTGTGCACTGGATATAAGTGGTTGAAAGACTGTAATAATATAACATAGATATTAAGCCACTATAAAGTATCATAATGACTACAATTCATTTTGATTATTGAATGGAAATTGAGGCTGGATACTATTTTGCATGAAAGGGTTTGCCTGTTCTTAGTTATAAGCTGGTTTTGATATTTCCATGGCAACAAATTTCATGGCATAGGTGCAGAAATATGCATAGGTTTGTTCTTGGGGCATATAGAATCCTAGTAAAACATCTTAACAGCAGTATGTTAAGAAGTAAGATATATTAAAAACACTTCTGCTACATTTTACGGAATAATTGAAAACTCTTTCAGATGCTACTAAGTTTTTTTAAATTCTTGTGGGGAATGTTCAAAATGTAGCTGATACAGATCCTTCCTGCTGAGAAATCCTGCTGGTTTTGCTGTTCTCAGAATCTGTGTCATGGAGTATCCTGAACAATGCTCCAGCTAGGGTAGAGCCTCATCATGTCATCCAGATGGCTCAGTTTGCAATCTCAGCAAGAATTTATTGGCAAGGGAGCAATCTAGGTGACTGGAAGGCACAGTGTCACTAAGCTATATTGATGATAAACCAGAAAACAGACACTTAAGATGGAGATTTTTTGTTGCTAAACTTCCTGGAAGACTCTGAGAAGGTTCTCTCTGAGGAAAGGGACAATCACAGAAGGGAACTACTGCAGAAGATATGGGGGTACCAACAAAGGAAACATGGAAAGCAATCTGGTAAAGCCAAGTAACTAAAAAAGCAAGAACAAAATTCTCTTGTTTGCTATTTTAAGAATCACCATGAGGCATAAATCTGTGGCAGCATACCTTAGCAAAAAACTAAGAAACTATGACGTTAAGAAGTGAAGCAGCACAGGAATCATATGTTCAAATTCTTAGAAGCAAGAGCCACCATGGAAGTCTTAAAATGTATGGTTATTTTTCAACATAAATATGTAGAAGTTGTGGTCAAAATAAAGTCTTTTCTATTCAGTATATCCCTACTAATCCGTTTTGGAAACTGTGTTGAAATAAGCTAATGAATATCAATGACATTCAATGTCATGTTCATTATCAGACAGCTATGCTATAGCGTGCTGGGTGTTCCTTTTGCAGACAAATTAGGGGGTAGGACATGGGACCTTTTCATGCAACAACAGAATTTTTAGATGGCACTTTTCATGTTTGCTTTAGGATGTAAAGATCACTTTTAACTATAGTCAGTATGAATAAGAAGAGATGAAAACTTACTTCTGTTAGAAGTCTTCAAAGGGATATGAATTTCCTACAAGTGCCATCTCTCTCTCATGACTGAGACCAGCCTGGGATAACAGTTTGCTGAACAGTTCCCTCGTGCTTGTTGTTCTGTACTTCAACCAAAAGAGGGGTTTCTGTCAGTATGGATATTTTCTGGTGTTTTATTTCAAACTGGTAGAAATTCTCTTAACATAACCAGTGAAATACAAATTTTGTTTTCAAAAAACCGAAACTATCTGTGACTTAAGGATTGAGCTTGCCAGTGTTATACTTCAATTCCGTCTACTCATCCAGTCTACACTTCCAGAGTTTGCTTATGATGATACTGTGAGAGACAGTGTCAAAGGCCTTGCTGAAGTCATTGTGTGAGACCTCACCTGGAGTGCTCCATCTTGATCTAGGACCCTCAGCATGAGAAAGATTTTTACCTTCTTGAGCTAGTCCAGAGGAAGCCATGATCAGAGATGATCAGAGAGGGCTGGATCACCTCTCCTGTGAGGACAGGCTGATAGAGATGCAATGCTCTGTTCAGAGAAGTGGAGGCTCTTGGGTGATTTTATTGTAGCCTTCAAGTACATAAAGAGCCCTACAGGAAAGCTGAAGACGGACTCTTTACAAGGGTTTGCCATGACAGGACAAGGGGAATTGGTTTTAAGATGAAAGAGAACAGATTTACAGCAGACACTCGGGAGAAATTCTGAGGCCCTGGAACAGGTTGCCCAAAGAAGTTCTGAGTGCCCCTTCCCTGGAAGTGTTTGAGCAAGGACTCTGAGCAATGTGGTGTAGTGGAAGGTGTTGCAACTAGATCTTTAAAGTCTCTTCCAACCCAAACCATTTTATGATTCTATGAATTCTAATAGTAGAGAAAAAGAAACAGATTTATATTTCACAGTCCAGGGAATATTTAGATTTAGCTTCCATTGAAATCCCTCCATCTGATCCATTAAGTTCAGTAATCAAGTAGCAATGCAGATGTCCGTTGTTTTAGCTAATTTCAGCTATCTCATTTTTGAAAAACAAGCTCACATTTTTTCCAGCAAGTGTTTTGAATATAGGATTGATAACCATCAGCTTTAGTGGAGTTGAACCAATTCCCCATCATTAAGGTGAAAAGCACTTTAAAGTGACCTGTATATTGTTTTCTTAATCAATCAATAATATTTTTCATAAAAAAAGACAGATTTGGAAAACAGCCATAATTACATCAGGTACTTTTCCCAGTTAATCATTAAAAGGCCTTATCTAGGTCATGATAACCAAACAGAGAGTTATCTCACTTATAGCCTTGTTAGCCCCAACACAAACAAAATCATATTGCTTTGTGAGATACAGGACACAAATTACATTCAAACTGAAATTCATTCATATATCCCCTGACCCATAGGAAGTAAGGTATGCAGCTAACAAGTAAGGCATCAGAGAGCCTGGAGTCTGCTCCCCACCCACTTTCACAGTCACTTCCTCATCTTTGGGGCTGAATAGCAGCTTTATCCCTTGCATATGCAGAGTTTGTGAGCATTTGATATGAATAAATGAAGCCATATTTACTTGCATTCAGGAATAATTTCTTTGTGTCATAGTTGGTGCTGCATTTTCATGTGCTACAATTTAAAAAAAATAACTGCTTAAACTGAGAAATTTAGTAAACTGGTTTTCCTTTTCAGAAAGTATTGTCTCCAGTTCAGCCGCATTAGTTTAGGGAAGAGATTGTTTAACAGGATACAACTATGAAGGCGTACTGAATGCTTTTTCATCTTGTTTTGTAGAGTTTTAATTAACGTTGCAAAAGTTTTCTAACTGAAAGGCTTCTAATGAAAGCTCTATGTAGGGCTCTTTTTGAATCCACGGATTTGTAA